TCGTACTGATTTTCCCTGTGAGATTGAAACTCACGCCTACGGAGTCACTCAATCTTAAGACTCACATATGTCACAACTGTGGATTCTTGATATCAAGAATTCATCTAAGCAGAGAATTATAAAATTTTAGATTTTAGAATCAGTAAAATCTTAGAATATCAGTGCTAGAAGGGACCAGGATAGAGGCAAGTCCACATATAATTTCATTCTGCAGCTCTGACAGGTTGGAAATATCAGACATTGAGCCAAGAAAAAGGACAGTGCCTGCTTGAAGTTACCCAGTAATAGTGATGGAATCAGGATTCAAACCAGCACAACATTGTAAAGCAATTACCCTCCAATTAAAATGTTAGTTAATTAATTTTTAAATGAAAAAAAAAAAAGATTCAAGCCCCAGTTACTGGCTTTCAAGATCATTTGGTTAAAGGATAATCTTTGGAAGGAAAGTCACGCAGTCTGCATGGGGCTGAGAAAACTGGGGACAGAAGAACATTTGTTGAGTACCTATCAGGTGTCAGGCAGGCCAGGGGATTTGTATCACTGCACTCCTCTGATAACTGTGCAAAATCAGTATCATTATTTTTATATTACAAATGGGGGGACAGGCTCAGAGTGGTGAGGTAACCAGCCCAAGGTCACACAGCTAGGGAAGCATCAGTGACTGTGTCCATTGCTATATTATCCTTATATAGTGGAGGAGGAGAGTCAGAGAGCAAGAGCTTGGTAATGTTTTGCTGGGGCTTTTCTGGAGAGAAAAATTAAGCTGAGAGATACATATGTTCTGGGCTTCTCTTGTGGCTCAGATGGTAAATAATCTGCTCACAATACAGGAAATCTAGGTTCAGTCCCTGGGTCAGGAAGATCTCCTGGAGAAGGAAGTGGCAACCCATTCCAGTGTTCTTGCCTGGAGAATTCCTTGGACAGAGGAGCCTAGCAGACTATAGTCCATGGATTTGCAAAGAGCTGGACATGACTGAGCGACTAACACCGACTTACACTGATACATATGGTCTGGAGTGTGAGGAGGTGGACACTATTGTGGGTCTGGGTGAGATATCCCTCAGAGTTCTCTGCCTCCTCCAGCCCTCCCCTGGCCTTCCTCTCATCCAGCATCTTCTGATAGCTAACGTGGCCTCTGTGGTTCCCAAGGCTGGGAAGGGGACATTCTAGGTGACAGACATAAAAACCTTCATCACTGAATTGCACACACCCACTCACTGTATAAATCAGATGTGTTCTGAGGTCTAGATCCTCAGTAGTGACGACCCCACCGAGACCCTCTGCCCATGAACCCTACCAGCACAGCCCCTGGCCTCTTGCTCTAACAGCCACAACTATTTTCTTTTACATAAATATGAGTCCTCATTTACAGCTACGATGTTCTAATTAATTGTTGTTGTTGCTCAGTTGCTCAGTTGTGTCCGATTCTTTGAGACCCCATGGACTGCAGCCAGGCTTCCCTGTCCCTCACTATCTCCCAGAGTTTGCCTAAGTTCATATCCATTGCGTCAGTGATGTCATCCAGCCATCTCATCCTCTGTTGCCCTCTTCTCCTCCTGCCCTCAGTCTTTCCCAGCGTCAAGGTATTTTCCAATGAGTTGGCATAATATTTCAAGCCTAAGGTGCACATTCCTGTACATTATTTCATTTAACTTCCATGCAGCTTGGTGAGGTTAAGTATTAACTAGGTCCTCCTGCTACAGACAGGGACACTGAGGTACAGTGAGGTTATATAACTCGCCCAAGGCCACACAACCAGTGAACGTCTGAACCTGGATTCAAACCCGATTTGTCTAAATGGAAAGTCTGTTCTCTTTTCACAAGTATCTCTTTTGAGTTCCCATTGCAGGGGTTAAGAAAGCAGGAAGGTTCTTGGTGCCTTTGTGAAGGAGACACAGCTCGCCTCAGGGAGGTTGGAGGACTTGCTGAAGGGCGCGCTCGGGGACGAGGCTGGTGTTGTCACCAGATTCAGGTCTCCTGACTCCCAGTCTGGAGGACATCCTCCCAGACCATATTGCCATTCCTATCAGACCATGTAATTTCTTTTTCTGATTGGGACACGAAGCCAACAGCCAACAAGGATCACAATCTGTCTGCCTGAAGTCTCCCTCTGTTAGGAGATGAAGGCTTTAAAAAAAAAAATGCATTTCAACGAAGAACTAGGTTAAATCACGCTTGTGTGTGTTGACTCTGCCTGCACGTCCTTGGAGAAACTCCAGGTTCCTCTTCTCGCCCCCTGGATGGCAGACAAGACTGAGTAGCTCCAACAGCCTGGTGGTCTGCTCAGCTTCTGCTCCGTCTCACTACCCACCACCCTGCACCCCTTCCAGTCGCTAGCTCCTGGTCCCCACCAACATCCCCATCCAAACGCTGGCCAAGTCTTCTCAGTTCCACATTTTAAACACTGCACGGCACCACTCAAGTCTAGTCCTGAGTCATCTCCCAGATGGATTGTCGTAACAGCTCCCAGCATGCCCCTGCCTACAGCCTTCTCTAATCTGTCCTTCCCACTGCAGCCAGAGGCTTCCCACTGCTCTTTAAAGCCCTTCTACTGCTCTCCATTGCCTTCATGTTCCTTCTAGTTCAAATTCCTCACAGGCTGCCATTTTGGTCTCACCTCCTGCATCTGCAGTCCTTCAGTCATAACGCACCTGTTGCAGCTCCTCCAGCCCGCCTCCCTTCCTTCCCTCTCTGTCTGAGATGCCCTCCCCCCAACAACCCACCCCACGCAATCTGCCTAATTTCTATTCAGCCTTAAAAAGTCAGTTTAGAGGTCACTTGTGCTGTGAAGACTTCCCTGACTTACTAAAACTGTGTTTGAGCCTCTCCTATCTCTATGTGTAGACATTTTTGTCTTCGGTATGTTCACTGCTATTAATACAACCCCTGTACCTAGAACTTTACCTGGCTTATGGCAGACACGCACTGTATTTTTTATTAATTGGAGTATAACTACTTTACAGTTTTTGTTAGTTTCTGCTGTACAAGAATGTGAATCAGCTATGTGCAAACATGTATCTCCACCCTCTTGAGCCTTCCCCTCTACCCCATCCCATCCCTCCAGGTCATCACAGAGCATGAGCTGAACTCCCAGTGCGATACGGCAGTTTCCTACTAGCCATCTGCTTTACACATGGTGGTGTATATATTTTTAAATGGACATTTCCCATGGCTCTCTGGGATTCCTCCACAACAGGGCTTACTATACAGATTATAAGTGTCCCTTTCCTTTATCCAGCTCCCCAAGTAGACCAGAAGTTCTGTGAGTCAGGGACCATGGCTTCTTGGTCAATATTTTGCTCCAGTGCTTAGTAGGATTCCTAGAATGCACTAATGGTGTACTAATGTTTGATGAACAAGGGTTGGGTGTTGAGGGGAGGAAACTCTGGGTCTGGGCCAAGGGAGTGACATTCTGCCAAGAAATTCATTTGCTTCCTACACAAAAGCATGTTGGAGGTGCTGACATAGAGTAGGAGAACCCATCAAATTGGACATCAGACACTGGCCACAAACTAAGTACAGGCCACCTCTGGAGGGACCCTCATCTCACTGAGATTAGTCACATATGGGATCCCTTAGGTACACATGCCCGAACTCTTCTTCCAGGCAACTCCTCCTCTTTCCTTTGCCCTGACATCAAAGGTGAGCTAGGCAGGGGCAGTGTGGAATGTGTCTAGGTGTGGAGCACAGCAGTTCGTGGATCCTGGGGAAGCCATGTGCTGCACACGGGGGCTGTGTGGGGGGCGAGGGCTACACTGTGGCACATGGAGATGGCCAGGACTTTGGAAAGCAAGGGTTTTCTGGTGTAGAGCAGAGCCTACTCCATTGGTCTGTGAGTCAGGTGGTTATTAAAGCAGACTTCAAGGTGACTGTGAGGGCACTCTGCCCCAGTTCTTACCATGATCTCTACATTGTTGTACTGGATCTGGAATACTGGTCTAACACGTGGTCTGCCAACTACTTGCCCCTCCCTCCAAGGACATCACCCTGCCCTCCATGTTTCCTGTTAGGTCACTGTTCACTAGTGCTGAGTCATGGACCAGAAAGGAAGCTTTCCTGCACAGAGTGTGGTGAGAACTCCATAAACTCTACCCATGGTTGAAAGGAGGATGCCCACTTCTGGGAAGAGAGAGTCTGTATACAGAGAGTTAATATCATCCATTTCCTTTCTTCTCCATCAACTATAATTCTTTCTCTAAGAAACTAAGTGTTCAGAAAGGAGACATGCGTCAATCCAAAACAAAAGGGTAAAAGATAAGCAGAAACTGTCACAATCAGTCACAACCCCTTATGTAGTGACCTTGAAATGAAAATCGACACCCAGGAACCTAGAATTACTAAACAATCCCTAAAAAATCAAGCAAGCCAGAAGGCGACCTCTAGTTTCATCATGACATGCTTTGGAGCTCTTGTGGACATTTTATGAGTAAGCCAAGAGGAAAAGTGAGTTGGCAAAGGAGACGAAAAGGCAGAAAGATGCTCAGAGGATGAGTGGGAAGGCGGGGAAGGTGGAAGGAGGCTGAGGGGAGAGAGACAGGAAAGGAGGGCTTGGGGGGGAAATAGAGGAGGGAAGGGGGGAACACATCCATTGAAGCAAGACGGAGAGATAGAAGGAGACGGGACAAGGTGGGGACAGGCAAAATAGCAGTGAGCGGAAAGAAGAGAAGGGAAGGGAGCTGGAGCACAGAAAGATGGAAGGTAAAAAGAGATTTGTTCTAGAGACCAGATTTGTGGTTGCCAAAAGGGTGGAGAGGGAGGGGCATGGACCGGGAGTTTGGCATCGGTAGATGCAAGCTATTACACTTAGAATGGGTAAGCAACAAGATCCTACTGTATAGCACAGGGAATTATATCCAGTCTCTTGGGATAAACTATAATGGGAAAGGACACTTTAAAAGTAATGCATAAATGTGTATCTATACAAGTCACTTTGCTGTATGACAGAGATTGGCACAACATTGTAAATCAACTATACTTCAATAAAAATAAAAATAAACAAATTTTAAAAACCCAAACAAGAGATATATTCAGGGTGAGAAAGACGAGACCAAGACCAAGTCGAGGTCTTTCTCAGCAGGCTTGGGATGAGCTTCTGGCCTGTGTGCTTACATACCTTAGATGATGGAAGACTCACTCTCTTGTTGGGGGCAGAGGAGAGAAAGAGAGGTAGGCCGGCACAGGTGTGGGTGGGTCACGGATCCAGGTGCCTGAGGAAGACTTGAGGTGTGGAAGAGGCATCTAGGGAGGGGTGCCCATTGGGAGGGCAGGAGGTAAGCAGGGCAATCCAGAGGCGACACCAGCGGAACCAGCCACATCTATCCTCACCCCAGGGTCTCAGCCCTCACCTGAATGGAGACCACATCCCTGAGGTGCCTGGTAAATCCTGGCAGACCTGGGTCCTCTCAGCTGGATGTGAGCTGGCCCAGGGCTGGCGGATGGGGAAGGGGAAGCTGCCAAGGATACAGGCTTCTTCCGTGTAGGGCACAGCAGCTGTGGTGCCGCCGATGATGTAGCTGTAGAAGGAAACCTCGAGGGTGTAGCAATAAGAAGTGTGGTCCAGCAGCCCGCCGAGGAAGCGACGGCCAGTTCCTGCCTTCACAGCATCCCGGTTAAAGGACGTACTGGACTGTGAGAGACAAAGAAAGGAGAAGAGAATCAGGGCTGGACCCCTGCAGGCTAAGGGACCTTGAGCAAATCTTACAGCACCTCTGGGTCTCAGCTTCCCCTCTGAAAAGTCTGATATGAATCCTAATTTGCAGGATTACTATAAGGATCGTTATACAGACAATTAGATGAAAGCACCCAGCATGGTTCTTAGGTTAGCAACTTCCATTTACATCACTTTGATGACAAAGGTTCATATCGTCAAAGCTATGGTTTTTCCGGTAGTCACATATGGATGTGAGAGTTGGACCATAAAGCGGCTGCACACTGAAGAATGGATGCTTTTGAAATGTGGTGTGGAGAAGACTCTCGAGAGTCCCCTGCAGTGCAAGGAGATTAAACCAGTCATTCCAACCTTGAATATTCATTGGAAGGAGTGTTGCTGAGATCCAACACTTTGGCCAGTGGATGTGAACAGCTGACTCATTGGAAAAGACTCTGATGATGGGAAAGATTGAAGGCAAAAGGAGAAAGGGGTGGCATAGGATAAGCTGGTTAGATAGCATCATTGACTGAATGGACATGAAGCTGAGCAAACTCTGGGATACAGTGGAGGACAGAGGAGCCTCTTACAGTCCATGGGGTCACAAAGAGTTGGACATGACTTGGCAACTGCACAACAACAACAAAGAGAACAAAAGCCAGAGGTCCGTGAAAGCAGACACCAGGGCCAGGGTCTGACTCTGGGAGGTGCTCAGTGGGTTTCTTCTCTTGTTAAAGCTGGAGTCAGATCAGCTAAACAAAGGCCAGCTCCTCAGACAAAGTGAGTGTGTTCCTCCCTCACTGAGAGGTGATGAGCTGCTTGTGGGCATGGGCAGAGCTTGTTTACGTCTGTCTTTATCACCCACACAAGACACAGCACAAGTAGGTGTTCTGTGAACGTCAAAGCAAGTCTAACTCAGTGAAAGACAGGGGGGCAATGGGAAGGAGGGGGTGGTCTGGGGAGGGGACCTGGGGCTGGCTGACAGCCAACTCTTGACTCACGTAGGAGAAGTCCTCGGCGTTCTGGCAGAGGAGCTTGGGGAAAACCGCCTGCCTCTGGAACCGCTCTTCATCCTCAAAGATGTTGCCATACATGAAACCATTCATCATGGTGGAGTGGGCGTGGATGTCAATATAAAACTCCAGGCTTGTTTTCTGCTGAGAGAAAGGATAACAAATGAGATGTCAGGGCCACAGAGTTTGCCGTAAACACACATATGCGTGCACACACACACACCATTTCCTTCTGAGCTAGCCCTCTGTCTACTCAGTTGTAGCAGTGTGAGGGATTGAGAGCAGCGAGGATCAATTTCTCTTTATTTTGAACACCATCTGTCTTCAAGGTCTCAGAGCACTACCATTAGCAGTCCTCTTTCAAGTTCTTCTGAAGTAATGCTACCTACCCAGAGCAGTAAACACATTCATAACTAAAGGCTTTAGCAGAATTTGTTTCTCTGATTAATGAGAAATACCTTCAGGTAGCATTAGTATATTTACATTGGGTCTGCTAATGGTTTTGCCCCAGTTGGGTCATTTCTAACAGAGGGAGTCTGGGGTAAACTAAATCATGTACCCACTTTGAAATTTTTATTTTCAAAATGGGTATTTTAATTCCAGCTTCGGAGACTTAGAGTGGGAATCCAACTCAGCAACAGTCATTATTATCATTTACTGCATAGTTAATGAATGCCAGATTCTATTCTGGGAGTTTCACACAGGACATCTTAGTTAATTCTGCTATTTAACCTCATTTCATGATGCCACACCTACTTCACAGTAGTATATAGTGTATGGGAAAAGTAACCTTGCAATTTATAAAGATGATTGTAACTAGTCTTTCTCTGCTGTCTGCTCACATTCCATACTTAAGGCACTCCCTACCTTGATATAGTATTATTTATTAACCTTCTCATTTATGAGCTCCCTGAAAGTAGAAAGAGTGTCTGGAAAGAACCCAGTGCCTGTTCATGAAGGGTGCTCAGTAGCCAGATGCAGAATGACTAAATAAACCACTCAGAAGGATAACTTCAGACACTGTAATGGACCGGCAGGAACTGGGGAACTCTCAGGCCCTTAGAGGGCTCCTCAGCTGGCTCAGTGGTAAAGAATCTGCTTGGCAATGCAGGAGATGCAGGAGACTCGGGTTTGATCCCTGGGTCAGGAAGATCCCCCGGAGAAGGAAATAGCAACTAACTCCAGTATTCTTGCCTGGAGAATCCCATGGAGAGAGAAGACTCATGGGCTATGGCCCATGGGGTCACAAAGAGCAGGACATGACTTAACAACACAGCATGCATGCAGCACACAGGCCCTTAGAACTTCAGTATCTCTCAAATCTGACTTTCTCTTCCTATATATCAGTCTGATTTATATCTGTTAATCACATCTGAGAGTAACAGGGGCCTCCACTGGGGAAGGGACTTGTCCAAGTTCTCGGCCTAACTGGGACTGAAACCCAGGTCTCCTGACCCGTTTGCACAGTTAATGTAATACCATCAATGAGCAACACTAAAAACAGCCGAGGCAAGACCTGGCCATCTTTCCATCCACTTTCTAGCATTCAGTCCTGGGAAAGAAGAAAAATCCATGCTTAGAAGAATTCTCCCTCTGTGGGACACTTTCAAACAAAGTTAAGACCAAATGAAAACCATGTTGCTTCCAGAATGTGGGCCTGATGATTGTCATTTCATTTGCCTCAGACTTGGAGTGAAAAATTGTGTCTTGCCAAGCTCCCAGTTCTCTGGGTGGCATAAACTGCCTTCTGAGAGATACAAGATGCACAGCTCTGTGTGATATTAAACTCATCATTTTCAGCTTTGAAGGTGGAATACACAATGATTCAACAGGAGCCCTATAAAAGTCATCTTTGCAATTTTATTTTCTTCAATTGTCTGTTTTTTCCTCTGAGCTTTTGATGAGCTGCAGAGGAAAGGAGGCGGTAGAGAGATGACTTAAAAAATGTGGAAGGAATAACCGCAGTTTATAGCTCTGAGTGTGGGCTCTATTGGAAACCAGTTTCTCTGACCTTTCCCAGATCAGCTCAGGTGGGGAGGTTGCCTGATTAAGGCCGGGAGTGAGTTAGTGAAGGAGCAAGAATTAGAACCTGGATCTTTGGAAAACCATTCTGGACTGGCTTCTACTGCCCCATCCCGACACCTAGAACCTGATGTGATTTGACTTAATAACCAGAAGTGAATAATATTGATTGATTTACATGGTTCAAAAGCCAATAAGAGGGACCTTTTATTCTTATGAAGCAGGGCAAAGGCTAACAGAGCTTTGCCAAGAGAATGCACTGGTCATAGCAAATGCTCTCTCCCAACACACAAGATAACACTACACGTGGACATCACCAGATGGTCAACACCGAAATCAGATTGATTATATTCTTCACAGCCAAAGATGGAGAAGCTCTATACAGTCAACAAGAACAAGACTAGGAGCTGACGTGACTCAGATCATGAACTCCTTATTGCAAAATTCAGACTTAAGTTGAAGAAAGTAGGGAAAACCACTAGGCCATGCTAGACCAGGTATGACCTAAATCAAATCCCTTATGATTATACAGTGGAAGTGACAAATAGATTCAAGGGATTAGAACTGATAGACAGAGTGCCTGAAGAACTATGAACAGAGGCTGGCAACATTGTACAGGAGGTAGTGATAAAAACCATCCTTAAGAAGAAATGCAAAAAGGCAAAATGGTTGTCTGGGGAGGCCTTACAAATAGCTGAGAAAAGGAGAGAAACAAAAGGCAAAGGAGAAAAGGAAAGATATACCCATCTGAATGCAGAGTTCTAAAAATCAGCAAGGAGAGATAAGAAAGACTTCCTCAGTGATCAATGCAAAGAAAGAGAGGAAAACAATAGAATGGGAAAGACTAGAGATCTCTCATGAGAATTAGAGATACCTGGGAACATTTCATGCAAAGATGGGCACAATAAAGGATAGAAACAGTGTGGACCTAACAGAAGCAGAAGATATTAAGAAGAGGTGGCAAGAATACACAAAAGAACTATACAAAAGAGATCTTAATGACCCAGATAATCACGATGGTGTGATCACTCACCTAGAGCCAGACATCCTGGAATGTGAAGTCAAGTGGGCCTTAGGAAGCATCACTACGAACAAAGCTAATGGCATGATGGAATTCCAGGTCAGCTATTTCAAATCCAAAAGATGATGTTGGGAAAGTGCTGCTCTCAATGGGCCAGCAAATTTGGAAAACTCAGCAGTGGCCACAGGACTGGAAAAGGTCAGTTTTCATTCCAATCCCAAAGAAGGGCAGTGTCAAATAATGTTCAAACTACCACACAATTGCACTCATCTCACATGCAAGCAAAATGATGCTCAAAATTCTCCAAACTAGACTTCAATAGTATGTGAACTGAGAACTTCCAGGTGTTCAAGCTGGATTTAAAAAAGGCAGAGGAACCAGAGATCAAATTGCCAACATCTGGTGGATCACAGAAAAACAACAATTCCAGAAAAACATCTACTTCTGCTTCATTGACTACACTAAAGCCTTTGTGTGGATCATAACAAACTGTGGAAAATTCTTCAAGAGATGGGAATACCAGACCACCATCCCTGCTTCCTGAGAAATCTGTATGCAGGTCAAGAAGCAACAGTTAGAACTGGACATGGAACAACAGACTGGTTCCAAATTGGGAAAGGAATACATCAAGGCTGTGTTGTCACCTTGCTTATTTAACTTATATGCAGAATACATCATGCAAAATGCCGGACTGGATGAAGCACAAGCTGGAATCAAGATTGCAGGGAGCCATCTGTCTGTCTTCTTTGGGGAAGTGCCTGTTTAGGTCATTTTCCTACTTTTTGATTGGGTTATTTGTTTTTCTGGTATTGAGTTGTATGAGATGCTTGTATATTTTGGAAATTAATCCTTTGTCAGTTGTTGAAAAGATGCTCATTATTAGAGAAATGCAAATCAAAATTAAAATGAGATATCACCTCACACTGGTCAGAATGGCCAGCATCCAAAAGTCTACAAACAATAAATGCTGGAGAGGGAATGAAGGAAAGGGAACACTCTTGCATTGTTGGTGGGAATGTAAATTGATACAGCCACTATGGAAGACAGTATGGAGATTCCTAAAAAACTAGAAATAAACCCACCATGTGATCCAGCAATCCCACTCCAAGGCATGTACCCTGCGGAAATCAAAATGAAAAATACACATGTACTCCAATGTTCATTGCAGCACTATTTACAATAGCTAGAACACGGAAGCTACCTAGATGTCCACTGAAAGATGATGGATAAAGAAGTTGTGGTACATACACAAAATGGAACATTCAGTTCAGTTCAGTTGCTCAGTCGTGTCCGACTCTTTGTGATCCCATGAACCTCAGCACGCCAGGCTTCCCTGTCCGTCACCAACTGCCGGAGTCTACCCAAACCCATGTCCATTGAGTTGGTGATGCCATCCAACCATCTCATCCTCTGTCGTCCCCTTCTCCTCTTGCCCTCAATCTTTCCCAGCATCAGGGTCTTTTCGCATCAGGTGGCCAAAGCATTGGAGTTTCAGTTTACTTATCATAAAAACAAACACATCGGAGTCATTTCTAGTGAACTGGATGAACCTAGAGCCTATTATATAGAGTGAAGTGAGTCAGAAAGAGAAATATAAATATTGTATACCAATGCACATATATGGAATCTATAAAGATGGTACTGATGAATTTATTTTCAAGGCAGCAATGGAGAAGCAGACACAGAGAACAGACGTAAGGACATGGGGAGAGGGGAGGAGAAGCTGAGATGTATGGGGAGAGCACCGTGGAAACTTACATGACCATATGTGAAACAGACAGCCAGTGGGAATCTGTGGCATGTCTCAGGGAATTCAAACAGAGGCTCTTATCAACCTAGAGGGATGGGATGGGGGGAAGATGCAAGGACGGTTCAAGAGAGGGGACATATGTATGCCTACAGCTGATTCATGTTGATGTTTCACAGAAAACAACAAAATTCTGTAAACCAATGATCCTTCAATTAAAAAATAAATATTTTTTTAGAATGTGTTTTAAAAAAAGATTACAGAGAGAAATATCAATAACCTCTGACATGCAGATGACACTATCCTTATGGCAGAAAGCGAAGAGGAACTAAAGAGCCCCATGATGAAAGTGAA